GAGCGTGAGCGAGGATGTCACGTCACGTAGTCTGCCGCTTCATCTCTGCTGCAGTCTGGAGACCAACTGCCGTTCCGGTTCTCCAGGAAGCTGGCAGCCCTACGTGGAGCCTGGTCCTGCCTTCCTCCCACCCCTTCTCAGCTGAAGCCCCCCTCCTCAAAGTCCTCGTCGCTCTTCATGACGTGCCTCTGCCCGGGGCTGACCGGAGAAGGGCCAGGCCTGAGGGACCTCCCACGTGGGCCGCCGAGCTCACGGCCAGAGGCCCACGACTCCGCTGTGCTGCGAGGACACTCGCCCTGACTGACGCGACCACGGAAGACGCGTCCCGCAGGCCCAGAGCATCCCTCCAGCAGGGTGGCAGGGGAGAGGCTCTTTCCAGAGAGGGCCCTTTTGTCCTCCCGTTGCCCCCGGCTGAAACACGACGGAGGGGAGATTCCGGTGGGTCGTCATGGTGGTCTGAAGCCGCAGAACAAAGTTGGAGCCCAGGGGCGCCTTCAAAACCAACACATTTTTATTCCAGGTATCAGCTTTTGTGTTGGTCTCACAAGTGCCACTGGACTCAAAACTTTGTTATGATGGGAGGGAGTTTCTGTCTGTGGCATTCTTTTGTCTGTAAGTGTAACCCTGAGTTCACTAAAAAGGTAAAAGGTAAAGGTTTCCCTTCCTCAAAAGCCAGTCGAATAGTTTCTGCCCTATTTTTAAGGCCCAAAAGGCCATGTGGGAAGAGCACTAGGCAGAAAAGTGGAGTGAGATTTATATAATTTGGGGGGCTACCACCTCTGTTTGCAGCGGCAAATTTGTCTCAGGAGTAGGTGAGACCATGGGAGGGGGGGAGGAGCAGAAAAATGAATACCCAGTTTGAATTTAGCATGGCACCAACTGCCAATCCTTAATCATTGTCTGTTGCTATCACTGACAAATAGTGACTCTGCCGGAGCCGTGTGCGTAGTGGAAGCCCCCACCCGCATGGCTCAGAGCCCCCAGGGAGTCTCTGAAGGACTATGTCTAAAAGTGCCACCCCCACCTGGCATCAAGCCAGTCGAATCCGACTCTAGGGTTGCGGTGCTCATCTCCGTTTCAAAGCCGAAGAGCCAGCGCTGTCCGAAGACGTTTCCGTGGTCATGTGGCCGGCATGACTAAACACCAAGGCGCACGGAACGCTGTTACCTTCCCACCGAAGTGGTCCCTATTTATCTACTTGCAATTTCTTGCTTTCGAACTGCTAGGTTGGCAGGAGCTGGAACTAGAGACAGGAGCTCACCCTGTCTTGCGGCACCCGGGTCTTGAACCACTGACCTTCCACAGCCTGCAGTTCAACGTCTTAACCACTTGACCGTGAGGGAGTGGAGAGCGACCGAACAACAACAAAGCATCACTTCAACTCCCAGCAGGAGAGGAGAGGAGAGGCAACAACATCCTTCCTCCTTGAGGGCTCTGTCACCACTCCCTGCTGGCTGGTGCAAGGAACACCATGCCCCTCAGGGAGACCTTCATCTCTGAGAACTGCACCCTGCTGGCTGATGCCGGAAGGGCAACACACCAGAGCCAAGCCTCCCCCCATGCATGCTCTTTGGCCAGCTGTTGCAGCCCAGGCAGGGAGGGAAGCTCCCCTCGAGTAGGCCTCAGCCTGGAAACAGTGATGCCCGGGGCCCTGCCGTTGGAAAAAAACCCGGGGCTGCCCCACTCTGAGAAGATCAAGGCCCAGGAGTCGCTATCTGCTAGCTAGACAGGGCTGAGCTGGGATCGCTGAGGGAAGCTATAAGCAGGGACGGCCTAAAGAGGGAATTAGATAAGCATATGGAGCAGAGGTCCATCAGTGGCCATTAGCCACAAGGTCTAGATAGGAGCGCTCAGTCTGGGGCAAGTGATAAGTGATGCTCTGTGTTCTTGGTGCTTGGGGGGGGGTCAACAGTGGGAGGGCTTCTAGTGTTCTGGCCCCACTGCTGGACCTCCTGATGGCCCCTGGTATTTCTGGCCACTGTGTGACACAGAGTGTTGGACTGGAGGGGCCTTTGGCCTGATCCAACATTGGCGTCTCTTATGTTCTTATGGATAAACATCTGGAGCAGAGGTCCATCAGTGGCTATTAGGCACAAGGTATAGACAAGGACTCTCAGTCTGGGGCAAGTGATGCTCTGTATTCTTTGAGGGGGGCAAGAGTGGGAGGGCTTCTAGTGTCCTGGCCCCACTGCTGGACCTCCTGGTGGCCCCTGGTATTTCTGGCCACTGTGTGACACAGAGTGTTGGACTGGAGGGGCCTTTGGCCTGATCCAACATTGGCTTCTGTTATATTCTTATGGATAAGTATATGGAGCAGAGGTCCATCAGTGGGCCATTAGCCACAAGGTATAGATAGGAACTCTCGGTTTGGGGCAAGGGATGCTCTGTATTCTTGGTGCTTGGGGGGGGGGCAGCAGTGGGAGG